CATTGATTATGTAATTATGTACAGTATTTTGTTTATAAAGCTCAGTTTTTGACTTGAATATTTGTTATGGATGCATTTTTTTACCTGTATAAAACACAGGAATAAATTTTTTAAGTGTTAAGCCAAAGCTAATTAATTAAGAATAATACAAGGCCTACAAAGATGCGTTAAAAATAGATTTTAAATCTGTACATATGAAATGAGATGTTTTAGTAATTATGTATCAACATGGGATTATACAAACTTGGTAATGAATGAGACCATCGACATACACATAGACTTTTTTTCCTAGGAGCTAGGCACGAGCCCAGGATTGTTTTGCGGTATTACTTCAGGTTAGACCTAGGGGTGGCAACATTATCACTTAGATAAAATCCATTGGTGGTTTGGCGGGATTTGAACCCGAGACCTCTTGGACCAAAGTCCCGCGCTCTAACCACTAGACCAGCTCGCTCCCCCAGACGCACACATAGACTTAAATCATTCTACAATACTAATGCTTGCTACACACTTTCTTTTTTTTTTTTTTTTTTTTTTTTTTAACAAGTATTTATTTACAATCTATTCAATACTAGAATAATAAGTAAATTTTATAACCATCTTAACATGGGTTAGTTACACTCCATCAAGTGCACTAACATAAAAAAAACTTTTAAAAAGTTTAACTAAAAACGATTTGGAAGGTCTATTGGATTAACTCTTTTGAGCCTATATGTAGCTTCACTATTGTCGAGGAGGTTGACTGCCAGGAAATTTGGATGGGTTTCTAATTTTCTTTGGTATTTTTCACTTCGTTTTTTGAGCACGGAGAAGTAAGATACAGAGGAAACACGCTTATGGGTCAACTTTGCACTTTCAGCTATGGTATACTATGTTGTGTTGAAAATATTTTTGTGATGGGTAAGGAAGAGCCCGAACGGCGAACACTAGGTAGAAACCATTAACACAGAGCACAAAATCCTCCCTCACCCTCTTCTTCCTCCTTGTAAAGGCCTGTTCACATCGGCGTAGCCAGACGTATTCAGTGTATTAATACTTTGCCCATGCACTGTTCACACCGCAGCTACGTAGCCAGTTTGCCACCCCTTTTTCCCCTCCCGGCCCTCCAGCACCACACTCCACATATTCAGTGTGTTGTGTTTAGCATCCCAAAGATCTAAAATGGATCCATCCAATTAGTCAAAGAAGAAGTTTCTGAAATTAATATTTTTCACACACGTGCCGCAATGCCTTTGTTAAACATTCAATCTGGAATATTTGAATTTCTGATAGTTCCCGAGGCGGACGCTAGGTAGACTATTGAGAGAACACAGCCAAGTCAGCTGACTGAGTGAGACAAAGAATCAGCTAAGAGAGAGAGAGAGAGAGATAGAGTAGCATGGCTGTCTCATGAGCGATCCTAGCGGCGGCCACGTGAAGCTCATTCCGGCGGCCAAATTCCAGTCTGACTGTTCTCCATGACTAAGAATCATTTCGCTTCTTAAAGGGTTATGGTTCATTGTTACAGGCCTTGGTCTGCAATACAGATATTATTTATTTTTGTTGTTTAAGTTAATAATATTTAGATAATATTTTAATTTGTCATTTTAGTTTAAGGAAATTAAATCTAATCATGAAATACTGACAGTACTCAAAAATAAAAGAGAAACATTTGTGTACACATAAGTGCCTAAGTGTACAAGTATAACCAACGTGAATCGCACATTAAGGCAGGCTTCAGATATTCCAATAGAATGAGCTATCTACAAGCACTATCAACAGTTGAATTCAATATTCAGCCAGCTGTGTTAGGCCATAGCTGAGCAATTAATAAACGTAACAAAAACATGTGTTTTTGTCCTGTAACGTGGTGGAAAATTAGGCGACTTATCTAGAAAAAAATCTTTTATTCGCTCAACATTCTACTCAATATGATCTTTGAACATTTAGAACAGTTTACAAAGAAAATATATAGACTAAAGGCTAAGACACAACATACCTTATTGCATGCCAGAACCCGAGAATTCTTTTTTATAAAATATAAATTATTTGTTAAACACACAATGTTATAAAAAATTATACAGTATCTGAGAAACTTGCTGGCTACATATTGTACAATATATTTATTATTCAACACATTATAATCTAGGTATTAACATGACCATGTTGAATATATAAGCTATTTACAGAATGCAATACTATTAAATGTACATTAAACTAAGTAATAACTGTTTAAAGTTTGTCTAAAAATGTTTCACACAGATTAGGATCCACTGACAAGTTCTCCATAGAGGAAGGGTTACGGACATATTATGATGTTATAGATGCCCATGTTTCCATTGATGAAATGAGTAGATATATTTACGTTTATGGAAACGTCTGTCGTTTATTTTATTTGCTATTTATTACATACTATAACATGCTGCAGTTTCTAGTAAACACTCATTAAAATATACCGGTATTTAAAATTCATCCAATCTAATAAATAGTTTTATAAAGGTAAGGTATAAGGTAATGAAATTTATTGTATTTGGGTTTATAACAGATATGCGAGTAGTGGTTAGTAATAGCAAGCAAGTAGTTTAATACTTATAATGACTGTTAAACTCCAATTATGGATTAAAATTTGTATGATTCTGTTCACATTGTAAGCTAAATTACTTAGGCTACCCAAATTACGCTAATTCTGTGTTGTATTTTAAACTTTTCATTGAGTATGTAAAGTAATTTTACAATTTAAGTAATTTTAAGAGAACTAGTTTTATTAAATGTTTATTACAAATCTCTTTCATACGTAATCTAAGTACTTACTTACCTTGCCTCAGACAAAAAAATACAAAATCGTAATAAATATACCTTAACACCATACAAGTTGCTTTACAACTAACGCCCTTTTGATATTCAACCTAAATACATTCTTAAGTAAATATGACAAAAGATGAAACGCAAATTCTTCATTTATTAAAGACACACTGTTTATGATTAAAAATATCACATTTTACTTAATTAAAAACAATTCAAGAGAGAGGTGAATTTATTTCTGTACCTAGAGCAAAACTGTATCAAAATAACTCATACCAATAATACCATTTGAAATATTTTCCATTTCCACTTATAAATCCACCCAAACTTTGGAACCGTTTTACTATCACACTTAATTTACTTCAGCACACAAAATAAAGGACAAAAACTAATACAATTAAAGACTAGAAACAGTGATGAACATACAAGCAGGTACAAACTATTTATTTAAAATAAAATTACCTATATTTGTAAAATTATTTATTGTTACAAAATCAGACAACACTTGCAAAGCTAAGCTATGTGAAACCAACAAATAAATACATTTAGGAATGTTGCTGAAAAGATGATTTTTTTGGAGCAAAGACAGGGAAAAACTAATATAGTTCCAAATTTTAGAAACTTCTCAATTTGTAATACTCTAAATTAATAACATTAGCTTCGTGTATGAAAGCCAAGTATTTTAATTTCATGGTTTTGGCGATAGCTATTTAAGACTTATATCCAGGAAGCAAGAGGTTATTCGACAGGTAGTTCCAACTAGGATAGCTGGGGAAAACTTTTGAAATACAATTGAGTGTCAATTACCCAACCATGAGATTGCTTCTTTCTGCAATGAGATAAATCATCAACTATATTTAACAATAATTTTGATGTTTTGGTAATTTTATAATGACTGAAGTTACCAAAATGAGAAAAATGTTTTGTGCACATGCAATGTTTGGATAAAAATGAAATGTTTGGATAAAAATGAAATGTTTGGGAGTCAATAATTTAATAGGGCAATGGTAGCTTGTCATCTCTTGGTTAAAACTATTATTATTGTTTTGATTTTAATTTTAGAATATTTAATTTATATATACATATATATTATTTAAGGGTATTCAATTTGTTTTAATATACAACCTTACAATATTATTTAATATCTTACTAAATGTTTTAGTCAAGATTTTAGTTGTTTGGTCTCTTGGAAGTTGCAAATTTTATTCCCTTCCAGTTGAAACTCCTTAGCATCCTCCTTAGCATTTAAAAATAAAAGTGTCTTTAAGACTATAATAATTTGAAAATATGATAAACAATCCAAAAATTATATAATAAATATCTTTCACGCAAAAAAAAAATTAACTATCACATTATTTACTCGTGTAAAACATATTAATAATAAATTAATTTTAGTACTTGACAAAACAACATGTTTCAAAACAGTTATGGGGTAAGTTATAGTAAAGAGAAGTTACTACCCTTACAATCAGACATATCCAGTGAGCATAAAATTATAGAATTCAAAAAAATATGTTTTACATATACCTTTTAGCCTTAGTTTATATTAGTATTATTTTATATTTGGGTATATTAATATTATGTTCATATTAAATAATAGAGTAGGCTCAAGCTAAAGTCGTTTTGGATTGAAAAATTATATAAAATGTTTAAAGTTTACATTCTAAAAGGTACTTAAACACAATCATAATGGTAGTAAAATACCGTTTTCATTTATTTCATCAATCGGTAAAAACAATACACTGGTATCAATTTTTTACTAAAATTCTTCTTTTTTTACTTTCCATAATTTATGACACCCTAGCTTTATAAGAAACTAACTCAAACACTAAACCTTCAGAGTTTAATCTTGCTGTATGTTACAAAAGGGCCAAATGCTTGGTAATGTTAACTTAATCAGTTCTTAGTTATTAAGTCCTCGGTATCATAAAGATTCAAAAACAGAATCCCAAGTATCTATATTTTTTGTGTTATTCCTAATGTGTGATTGTTTTTTTCCAATTCTCAATAATCTACTGAAGAATATTTTTCTTGTAAAATAGTTTAAATAAAAAAGATCATAATCTATGTTTTACAAAATAGTACAAAATTCAGTTGACTAAAAGAATTGGTTCTAATCTATAATATTAAAACGAAACAGTGTTTTTTTATTTCACGATTCTGAATCAACCACTCGACGGATTTTCATGATTTTTGTGTTGAAAGAAAGATAATTTTGAAAACTAGGGAATGTCGAAGCCATAATTTTAGTTTAGGGTCCCAGTTTTTTAGAAATTGAGTTTTAATTTTTAATAAGTCTAGCAACCGACGCTAAGATTCTAAACTAGCTTTTGGCATAAAATAATTTTCTTAACATAACAGCTGTAAACATTCAGCTTTTGTGTCACAAATTCAGCATTTGGATAAAAATGTAAATACATACTTAGGGTTGACTTGTAGCATATAAAAACGAAATATGAAGCAAAGCACCAAATGAAAGGCAATGTCAAATCCTTAGTTTGTATTAAACATGTTTGTTATTGTTATACTGACAAAAATGTATTCTAGCTAAAATGACAATAAAATCAAGTCAAATCAATAGAGACACCAATAACATAAGGAATGTGCAGAGTGTAAAGGAATGGTAATAAAAATACAAGTTACTTAATAGAATGTGAGCATTTGAGGCCGATAAATAAACATAGAGTAAGAAACAGTTGTACAGAGGGATCTGACAGATTTTAAATAAGTCAAATAAAACATCAAATAGAAATGGTGGAGTAAAAATAAAATTGATCTAATTAAAACATTAAGTATTGTGTTTGCAGTTAATAGACAATTGTATTACTGTACTAGATAAAGTATTTCTTGTAAATGTTAAACTATGAACATTCCAAAATACACCACTTTTATAGCTAATCAAAGATATAACACTGAAATATCAAATACTTTATCATCCTTCACACTTCTGAGTACTTTGTATTGAAAGGTTAAGGACATTTAAATATACAAATTTACAAATATACAAAGGACAATTCAAAATTAAAACATTTTTACTCTATCTTTGACACTAAAATCTCCATCATGAGACATACAGCATATCAATCATACTAAAAACCATTTTAAATTTTAAACATCTTTGTACAACTTTCAGTTTGAATTAATTTTTTAATATGAAACTTAACAATATATTTTTATAGACACAGTTGAGTCTCCATAAATATACAATAGCTGTAACTCTTCCAAGACAATAGAGAGTGATAATAGGAAATTAAACTAAAGATTGGAGTGAATGTGAGTGAAGTACTTACTAAGTTACTTAGATCCATCATAATGTAAGTTCCTAGAAAATTTAAAGAAAAATAAATACAAATCTATAAGCAGAAACATCAGAAACACACTTAAGTTACAAAAATAAACACATTTACATAGTCAATAAATGCACTGTTAGAACATGTTGTACACAAATGACGTAGGCAAATGAAGCACAATTGTTACAACTCGATTGATATTGATTTTCAACAAGAGTAAACATTTATTACCTAAAATAAATATATCGATTTCTCATGTACAATAGTTATTGGTTATATTCAAATGTCAACAAGCATCCATAATCCGTTGACTGATACTTAGTTACTGATAGTTGAATATTACTAAAAAGCCAACACTAAAAAGATAGAAGTAAAAAGTAATCAAATCAAATTAAAAGAAAATAAAGTTTTTAAGCACTCTTTAACAAAATACTCAATGTATATGAATATGGAGCTGATAAATAATGAGTTTTTTGTTTTTCAATACATTTCAAAGCAACCATAAAATATTTGGGTAGAATTCGATACAAATTTGTGATGTAATATAACAATTAAGGATTTACACTTTTAACAAGTTACATACTTACAATATACAGAACATGAATAGCAAACACTTCAATATGAGAGAACACATTAACGCATAGGTATGTGGTGAAAAAGCCACCTTTAGAGTATTCTAATCTAGGACTATTCACTGAGCCTACTGAGGTTTTATTTACATTCCTTAAATTAATAGAGTAACAAACTTTAACTGAAAAAATAACATAATATAGAGTTTTTAACAAATTTACTGGATAAATCGTAAAATTAATGTAGTATGTAAATATTACACACTATTTAAAGATTAAGAAAAACAGTAGCTAACATCAAATAACTTTCCAAACAATATTAATTTTGAAATCAGTCGTAGAGTAGTAATATAGTAGAACCTCGATAATTCAAAAACCTCTATAATTAGAAATTTGTGTCTATTCCACCCAGAAAACGTATGGAATTCAAAAAATAATAAAACGATAATTCAAAGTGATTTTTACGCTAATGCAGCCTTTAAAATTTCAATTTTCACATACTCGAGCCTCTACAGTTCAAATTTTGTTGCTGTACCTAATTCAAACTGTTAGCTCCAAAATTCGAAGTCAACCTCTACAATTCGAACTGTGTTACTTTAAGCTTCTGTAATTTTAATTCAGGACAAAAAATACGCCTGTTGAAACATGAACTGACGCTCTTATTGATGTTCCCACGATGTGTTCATTAGTCTTTGTTCTCTCAAACTCTCTACACTTAAATTTGGGACCTCTTTAATTTAAATTGTATTTATTCTGACCTCTATAAATCAAACTCTCTATATTTCAAACTTAGCATAGTTAGCATAGTTAGCATACAGGGTGTCTCAGACCACCCGGCCGGCTTGTATAGCTCCAATATGAAAGCAAATGGAAACCTAATTGCAACTGGAACCCCCTATTTTGACCCCAAGGAATTCAGCTAAATTATTTTCAACCCCAAAAAAGCACCCCAAAGGGCAGATTTTGGGGGGTGGGGGTGGTTTTTGGGAAATTTTCAAATGTAAAGGGGGGTCGTGTTATACCTCTTTTTAAAGGTCCTTTAGTCCTGAGTATTTTAGTGGAAAAAGATTTAAATTATCTTCATCCCTATTTACAGGGTGTTCAAAAACGTACAAAAAATAGACCTTTGAACTACTTTTCACTGTAAAGAGGTGGAATTTCGTGGGGGGTTCAAATTTTGACAACACTTTAATTAATAAATGAGCTTTCAAAAAACTCTAGTTTTAACCCTTTTGCTATCTTTTTACTTATGCTACGCATTTTCAAACTTTTTGAAGTTTCAAAAGCTGTTATCTCAAAAATTTCAAATAGCAACATGGGTTTCATTACAAACCACATTGTAGCCCTTGAAATTTGCTATAATTTTTGTATTTAATGTTCTTTGGTATCTTCATTGGTTAAAGAGATATAACGAAATTAGTGTATTTTAATGTTTTATTAAATGGTATTCAAAGTGTTTGCTGTTGCAAATGTACACCTCTAGGTCTCAATTAAAACAAATCTTGTCTAAAAAAATAAAATAGTACTCAGATTGTTGATCTTGGAAGATTGATAAAGGTAAGAACACAACTGCAAATATGCTTAGTTATTTTACAATTCCATGGCTCTAATAGTGCTTTGAATGAATAATTTGTTTGAATCAGCAGCCTACATACCGATGGACTTCTACAAATGCTTAAATTGCCTTCCAATTTGTTCCATGCAAACCCCAACTCTGTTTATGCACGTAGTACTTCTTCTCCACTATTATGGTACTGTATTGCTATTTTACTACCGCAGGTGCATTCACCTCTCGTACAGATCCAGTAAGTTCCTTATAATTTGTTTTATCTGATCAAACGTGACCAGTTTCACGCTCACGCTCATTGATTTCATGATGATTTTTTTTTTTATTTACCAGTAGCATTTATAGACAGTATTCATTCAAAGCACTATTAGAATTTTGTAAATTGTAAAATAACTAAGAATATTTGCAGTTGTGTTTTTCCTTTATTAATCCTCCAAGTTTAACAATCTGGGTAGTATTTTAATTTTTTAACATAATTAGTTTTAATTGAGACCTAGACGTGTACATTTACAACAGCAAACACTTTGAATACCATTTAATAAAACATTAAAATACACTAATTTCGCTATATCTCTTTAACCAATGAAGATACCAAAAAACATTAAATACAAAAATTATAGCAAATTTCAAGGGCTACAATGTGGTTTGTAATGAAACCCATGTTGCTATTTGAAATTTTTGAGATAACAGCTTTTGAAACTTCAAAAAGTTTGAAAATGCGTAGCATAAGTAAAAAGATAGCAAAAGGGTTAAAACCAGAGTTTTTTGAAAGCTCATTTATTAATTAAAGTGTTGTCAAAATTTGAACCCCCCACGAAATTCCACCTCTTTACAGTGAAAAGTAGTTCAAAGGTCTATTTTTTGTACGTTTTTGAACACCCTGTAAATAGGGATGAAGATAATTTAAATCTTTTTCCACTAAAATACTCAGGACTAAAGGACCTTTAAAAAGAGGTATAACACGACCCCCCTTTACATTTGAAAATTTCCCAAAAACCACCCCCACCCCCCAAAATCAGCCCTTTGGGGTGCTTTTTGGGGGTTGAAAATAATTTAGCGGAATTCCTTGGGGTCAAAATAGGGGGTTCCAGTTGCAATTAGGTTTCCATTTGCTTTCATATTGGAGCTATACAAGCCGGCCGGGTGGTCTGAGACACCCTGTATATTGTCTTTCCTCTGGGATTCGAATTAGCGAGGTTCTACTGTAGTTGTATTCAACTTGAAGATTTTAAAACTGAAATATCAATAATAATCTGGTCAAAAATTTTGCCAAATTATGTTTGATAATTTTGGTTTGGATCACTTGATCTTAAACATTCGTACTGCCAAGACTGAGAAATTCAATATATAAAGGCGTTGACATTGATCCTGAAGTAGACATCCCACCTGCATGGACCAGCTGTAGTAGCCATTTTTTTTATTAAAAAGAACTTAGATGAATGACTTACTCACTCACAGAGTGCGCTGCTGTCTAAAATCCTTATTTTCACCATATTATTATTGTTACTGCAATAGTTGGTATGATGAAAGAGATGCTATTCTTCATGGATAGGCTTCTACATTGTATATATAAGAGATGCTATTGTTAGCAATAGTTTTCTTTTCAGTTTGGCTTTATTAAATGTTTAAGTATTCAATGAAAATAAAGAATTTAAATCAGTTTACTCTGTAGGTAGCTCAACTTAACTGCGACCAAATTTAACACGGTAATTAAATGTCTAGTTCGAACAATAGTTAAAGCCTTCTTATTTTAAAGTTTATCTATCGACACGAAAAACATTGTTGGTTACAATTAGGGGAGTAAAAACAAAAATTGGGAAACTACGTACATGTGTGAGTAGGGTCACTTGAGGTCGACAGTTGGTTGGTCGAGGTGGAACGGTCGCAATGGGGGGCCGAGCTCTGCAAGAGGAGTGGCCGTGTCCTCGTGGGGAGAAGGGGGATCCATGACCACTATCCTAATCTTGTTCCTGTCTGCATGAGGGACATCTCCGTTCTGAGGGGAGGTGGAGGGGGAGTGGTACGGAACGTAGATGCGGACGACGTCAGGACTAGCACGGGGTGTCTCTGGACCCCCACTCTCGTCACCTGTGTCGCCCCCGCCCAGACTGTGAGTGTCCTGGGCTTGAGACCGAGTGGCGGAGGAGAACACGCTCAAGTCTGCTGTGGATGTGACGCTCGTCTCTGCAAGTGAGCGGCGTGAGCCTTCGCCAAGCAAGGAGGACGCATCGTCTAGACTCGGCTCCAATGAAAACTTACTGCCTGTAACACCCTCTGAGACATCAACTACGATTAAATCTGCTCTCTGCAATAGATGACTTTATTGGTAACTTGTGAGATTTTCCTTGGTTTTAGTTAAATATTGGCCATTTAAATTTTTTAGAACTTAGATTTTTTTAAAGTGATTTACTTTAGGGAAAATGACCAGAACAGTTTTAAAAACATTATAAAAGATTGTTTAATCAACCATGCTTTATTGGATATAATAATTGTCTACTTCATATTCATTGCTAAGTATTGGTTAGTGAGATGTTTGAAATTGTATTGTTGGTAGTAAGAATGTTGATGCTATTCATTGTCTTATGATGTACATGTATAAATAAAAATGTGTTTTAAAACTTACTTTCTAATGTGTTAAATAATAGTGAGTGATGGTCTTGCTTAACATTTTTAATTTTATGACTAAAACATTTGAGATGTCTGACATACAACAGTTTAAAAGTGGATTTATATATTCGATTCGTTGATTTAACAAAAATCTATGTTTTCAATGATGTAATTTTTTTAACTTTTTTATATAGGATATAAAAAATCAATAGTGGTATTTCATAAGTAGAATGAAAAGTGTCGCTTTCATATGAGTAACTAGACGAGGCAAAGCCAAAGCATAATTTGGATTTGGACCAACAGTCTATGTGTATTTTACACATAATTAACAATATTTTTTTGTCAATTGAATGTAATTTTTGAACTGCTCCTCAAAAGTGGCATTTTATTAATTGCTTACTTTTTAATCAGTTTATATTGGTGGAACAAAGTTAGTGTTTAAAAAAAAAATTATCCATTAAGCTACTAAATATTAGTGACAAAATCGCACCAATCTAGGTTTCCAAACCCTCACAGTTAGGGAATAATAGCCAAAATATGATCATTTCTAAAACTAGTTCTTGTGTAACAAAATGGCCGTAGGTGCACTAAAAATTGTTTTTCTTTGGGATTTTGTGAAATTTTCAGAATCTTCATTAAATTTCCAATAACAATAGTAAAGAGTCCTTGTGGTAACACATTGGTATAAGCCCTTATTCTGCAACGGAAGTTTGAATTTGTAATTTTTTAGAAAAATTCCATAATTTTTACAACGCATGTTTCATTAGGTAGTTCTTTTAATTTTTTTTTTAGAAATATCAGTTGGAAACGACGATAACTTTTCGCTATCGCGGGAGCCGATGACGAATTGACGATATTACCTCGAGTTTGGCTTGTTTGAAAATCTCAGGCTAGCACACCTCTAGTTATGGTAAAAAACTTTAATAGGCTATATTCATTTACATACAATATGGTATTTATTTAATGTGTTTAAAAAGGATTTATAATTTTTTAAGCTTTTAATTTATGGAATCGATGGAATCAGAATCGAGAATCAATTTCAAAGAATTGGAACCAGAATCAAAATCAAACATTTCTGGAATCAATCCATCACTAGTTTTTATTTGCCGTATTTGTTTTCAAAATGGCAATACAGTAGATCAAAAAAGCAAATATCAAATAAAAATAATTTAATAAATCCGAAATTGATATTCTTTTAAACAATCGAAAGTTCAAATTCTATAGTTTGGCAATTAGCAAATATATCAGCGGTAGAACCTAAAACTCATTGAAACTAATTAGTTAAGAAAGAAAATTTATTAATACCACAGAAACTAAACAATCCTATAAAACTTTATGAAAAACTAAGGTTAAAATTAATTTAAAATATATTTTTCTGGATGACCTAGGGTTCAAACCAAACACTTTTTTGAGTCTTATATCTGCTCTTGGAAGACTTATGATTGTCTTTAGGAATTTGGGGATTGTGGAATGAGGAATGTCTATCACTCCAGCTGAGATAAGATCCAGGGAAATTGGACATTTCAGTAGATGGAAGGCCATTGGAGTTAATCCTGGATTGACGGTGTTTGGATTGGCGACTAGTTTGAATTTCATTGTACTCATCAGATTCACAAGAAAAGAACTCACTACCACTAAGTTTATTGATGTCTTCTCCCTCAAAATGTTTACGATCAAATAAATTATTTGTAACAGATCGTTTATGTGGGTTGCCTTCAACGTATGACTCACAATTCTTGTATTTTTGTGATTGTTTAGTAGCCACATAACATTTAGATTTACATTTAGATTGTTCTGTACTATAGTTACTTGCTCCAAAAACAGACGATTGAGGCTTGGTAGATCCTTTACTTCTGTGATGGCTCCGAGTATCTTTGTTACAATTTTCAGCTGTAACAATTTCACTTTTACACTTGGATTTGTCTTCACTAGAGTTACTCGCTCCAAAAACAAATGATTTAGGCTTGGTGGATCCTTTACTTCTGCCATGATTCTGAGTGTCTTTGTTACAATTATGTGTTGCAACCATTTTATTTTTAGAACTGCACCCAATGGCTTGACCTCCCAAGTCATGGCGATATGAAAGATACTGGTTGGATTCACAGAGATGTGATTGATTGTCATTAGAAACTTCTGTAGATGGTCTACATTTACTAGAGTATAGATGGCGCGGTCGACACTCAGTTGGGCCTTTGCTAGATTTGTTTATCTTGTAGGATTTGTCCCGGAGATATTTTTTATTGTTTGCACTGTCAGGGTCTCTCAAATCTTTATGGTGTCTGCTGGACGGTTTACAACTAGAGTTGTGGCCTCGGGAGTTTTTGGAAGGGAAGAGGGAGGGGCAGGTTTCTTTCAGAGCTGTAACATAAATTAAAAGTTAATTTAATTCAAATTTTTATTTTTAAAGCAAAATAGTCTAGTTTGATTAGTTGCTCAAAATCTCTTTAATGATGCTAATTGGATTCTCATTTTATCGTCCTCTATTATTTAACACTCAACAAATGTTAATACATTTTTTCCCTTCAGATAAAAAAAATCATTTACCTTGAGTTTTTAAGTTTTTATTTAAACTCAGCAGGTTTTCTTACGGCTAAATATGAGTGTTTTTCTATTAATATAGATATTACAAATGAATACTTTTTTAACTATATGAGTCAAGAGACCACTGAGGATGTAAGCTTATTTCCTTTGGGTAAATGTTCTTGTTTTAGGATGTATTGGAAGTTTTCATTTTATATTTCTTGTTTTTAGTTTGTTTTATGTCAATATTAATTTGTTAGGTTCAAGTGATGTTTTTTTTTTACTCTCTTTTATAAAATAAAATTAGTTTCTTGTGTATATTTTGTAAGTTTGTTGTGAAACTTTGATTTGATTTTGAATTATAGCTTAAGCAAACCTACTAATTTACAAAAATATTCTCTCTCAGATAGCAAACATAAAAAAATATTGTTACATATTAAATCAAAATGATAACAAGGATTCAGAAAATTTTTCTATTTTGTATTTAGTTCATTTTTATTTTAGTTTTTTTTAAGAAATCCAATGAGGAAGGATAAAAATGATCGGAAAAAATGGAGTACAATTTCAAATGTAAAAAAGTCTATGCCACAGACTTGGGTTCATCTGAGTTTTGCTAGCCCAGACAACTTTAAGTGAAATACTATTTATAATAACTTAAAAATAGTATTCAAAAACAATTCTACTGAGAAAAAAACAAAGTAGTTGATTACAGCAATGAAAATATAATGTAATAAAAGCCTGAGTGCAGTAGAGAAAATTTAGTGTCAACATTTAAAATGGTCGTAACAGTGTTTTGTGCTTGAATTAATTACATTCTAAAACTAACTGGTAACTACACTTTCAAATCACGGTATTGAAAACAATATCGTTGATAAACACAGAATACAGAGTTCGACCTCCAAGTCCAAACCTAGTGTCTAACAATTAAAATAATTTTACCTACAAAACAATCTGTTTTAGCTCTAAGCCTACGACAACCTATTAGAATGACAGCAGTAGCAACACAAGTGGAATGTGAGCCTTAGATAACAAACAAGTAACTAGATGCAGATAAGGTGCACTGAACTGGGCCACTACATGTGTTGGTGCTGGTGAATTCAATGGTATAGGCTACTTATTTATTTTCAAATCTCGGGATTTTAGGTTTTAGTTTTAAGGCCGGTATCCACAGTCCGAGGCAAAGCCCGAGCATTTGCCACGAGGCATTCGCAGAGAGCAGCCTCGCACTGTCGATACCAGGCTTTAGGTAAACAAATTCTGTGATCCTAGCACCAATCACAGGATTAAAATTTCATGTGCAATTTTATTGTTTATAAAAAAGGTCTTATGCAGAATATCCCTATAACCCCTCTTTGAAATTGATCAAATACTGTTAAAGTATTATTATCTCCAGTAAAAGAAAAACTACTATGCCAAACAGATAATTTATGTATACCCCATTTTTCATTTGATATCACCTAAAACCATTGATTTTGTGTATATTGAAGTAAACATAGCATCTATGTTGAGAATCTGAAGCAAATTTTTAAAATAAAAAATACATAGTTGAATAAGCAGCTCACAGAGTTTGTTAGCAGCTTAAGTCCAATTAATTGTCTCCCTTAATTTTTTTAAATACAAACTTAAAGATGCTACAGTACAATAAGTTGTGCCAACATTATGGTTTAGATACAAAGTTGATGTCTTCAACAGAAATCAACACCTTACACCAGCTCACTCTGTCAGTGGATCAATTCAACTACGTCTATTTTTATTGAAAAACTGGCAAGAACTAGAACATTGGAATGGAATGTATAGTCCATCAACAAACAGACCACACATTGAATTCACTTTTAAACTACTGTGAATATTACTATAAAGCAAAAAATAACAACTATGATGAAACACACAATAATTGATTGAAAACACAACAAAAAGCGCAAGACGCAACACTGCAGCCTGTCAGGTGTTGGTTACCTGCAGTAGAGGCGGACTGCAGTCAGCACTGCACCTCTACGAAGCATGCAACACACACGTGCAGGTTAGGTTAGTCTCCTACATGCTAGGGTACAAATATATCTGTACTCCCACCTTGTCTGGGTCCCCACTCAAATCTGTCACTATACAGTTTTCACAGTCATGTTTACAGTTTTTGTGACATTGATAAA